ACACACTGTGTGTGGTTAGTGAGTGCACGGAACACACTCTGTGAGGGTAGTGAGTGCACGGAACAAACTGTGTGTGCTTTGTGAGTGTACGGAACACACTGTGTGTGGGTAGTGAGTGCACGGAACACACTCTGTGTGGGTAGTGAGTGCATGGAACACGCTGTGAGTAATGAGTACACGGAACACAGTGTGTGTGGGTAGTGAGTGCACTGAACACAGTGTGTGTGGGTAGTGAGTGCACGGAACACAATGTGTGTGTGGGTAGTGAGTGCACGGAACACATTGTGTGTGTGGGTAGTGAGTGCACGGAACGCAATGTATGTGTGGGTAGTGAATACACGGAACACAATGTGTGTGGGCAGTGAGTGCAGGGAAGACACTGTGTGTGGGTAACGAGTGCACGGAACACAATGTGTGTTGGTAGTGAGTGCGCGGAACACACTATTTGTGGGTAGTGAGTGCACGGAACACACTGTGTGGGTAGTGAGTACACGGAACACACTGTGTGGGTAGTGAGTGCACGGAACACACTGTGTGAGGGAAGTGAGTGCACAGAACACTGTGTGGGGAGTGAGTGCACGGAACAGTGTTTGGGTAGTGAGTGCACGGAACACAATGTGTGTGGGTAGTGAGTGCACGGAACACACTGTGTGGGTAGTGAGTGCATGGAACACACTGTGCGTGAGTAGTGAGTGCACGGAACACACTGTGTGTGGGTAGTGAGTGCACCGAACACACTGTGTGTGGGTAGTGAGTGCACCGAACACACTGTGTGTGGGTAGTGAGTGCACGGAACGCAGTGTGTTTAGGTAGAGAGTGCACGGAACAAAGTGTGTGTGGGTAGTGAGTGCACGGAATACACTGTGTGAGAGTAACGAGTGCACGGAACACAGTGTGTGTGAGTAACGAGTGCACGGACCACAGTGTGTGGGTAGTGAGTGCACGGAACACATTGTGTTGGTATTGAGTGCACGAAACACACTGTGTGTGGGTAGTGAGTGCACGGAACACACTGTGTGTGGATAGTGATTGCACGGAACACACTGTGTGTGGGTAGTGAGTGCACGGAACACACTCTGTGTGGGTAGTGAGTGCACGGAACACACTGTGTGAGGGTAGTGAGTGCACGGAACACACTGTGTGTGGGTAGTGAGTGCACGGAACACACTGTGTGTGGGTAGTGATTGCACGGAACACACTGTGTGAGGGTAGTGAGTGCACGGAACACACTGTGGATAGTGATTGCACGGAACACACTGTGTGTGGGTAGTGAGTGCACGGAACACACTGTGGGTAGTGAGTGCACGGAACACACTCTGTGTGGGTAGTGAGTTAACGGAACACACTGTGTGAGGGTAGTTTGTGCACGGAACACACTGTGTGAAGGTAGTGAGTGCACGGAACACACTGTGTGTGGTTAGTGAGTGCACGGAACACACTCTGTGAGGGTAGTGAGTGCACGGAACAATCTGTGTGTGGGTAGTGATTGCACGGAACACACTGTGTGAGGGTAGTGAGTGCACGGAACACACTGTGGATAGTGATTGCACGGAACACACTGTGTGGGTAGTGAGTGCACGGAACACACTGTGTGTGGGTAGTGAGTGCACGGAACACACTCTGTGTGGGTAGTGAGTTAACGGAACACACTGTGTGAGGGTAGTTTGTGCACGGAACACACTGTGTGAAGGTAGTGAGTGCACGGAACACACTGTGTGTGGTTAGTGAGTGCACGGAACACACTCTGTGAGGGTAGTGAGTGCACGGAACAAACTGTGTGTGCTTTGTGAGTGTACGGAACACACTGTGTGTGGGTAGTGAGTGCACGGAACACACTCTGTGGGTAGTGAGTGCATGGAACACGCTGTGAGTAATGAGTACACGGAACACAGTGTGTGTGGGTAGTGAGTGCACGGAACACAGTGTGTGTGGGTAGTGAGTGCACGGAACACAATGTGTGTGTGGGTAGTGAGTGCACGGAACACAATGTGTGTGTGGGTAGTGAGTGCACGGAACGCAATGTATGTGTGGGTAGTGAATACACGGAACACAATGTGTGTGGGCAGTGAGTGCAGGGAAGACACTGTGTGTGGGTAACGAGTGCACGGAACACAATGTGTGTTGGTAGTGAGTGCGCGGAACACACTGTTTGTGGGTAGTGAGTGCACGGAACACACTGTGTGGGTAGTGAGTACACGGAACACACTGTGTGGGTAGTGAGTGCACGGAACACACTGTGTGAGGGAAGTGAGTGCACGGAACACACTGTGTGTGGGTAGTGATTGCACGGAACACTGTGTGGGTAGTGAGTACACGGAACACACCGCGATGTCACACCAACTAACACTGGGCTAACAACAGGCTCTATTTATTACACAAACTTAATCACTAAGTCACCAAATACTGTTACATTGAGGATGTCGGGTCAGTGTCGTGATATCTCTCACGTCTCTCTCACTTTGAGGTTCATCTCCGCCAATCTGCGAGTAACGACGTCGGTGTCATTCTTAAGTGTTTCCCTTTAGACGTGTCCACTTCTCCCTGGATTCCACTAGTCTCTCGGAGATGGAAGTTGGAGCACTTGGCAAAGCTCTCCAGGATCCACTGAGGTCTTCTACAGCGTCAGTAGTTTATAAATGGTCTCAGGGGTTTCAACTTCCCTTGATTGAACTTTAATTACTCTATGGTGTAACCCTTATTTGTCAGACATCGTATACCCAGAAGCCAGTGACTTAGAGAGCTGTACTGGACTGCTGACATTACTACTTCTACCTTCACCTCCTTCTCGTTTTCATGTTTACTTATGACAAACCATTTTTCTCTCAAATGTCCATTTCTTTTTCCAGAACAACATGACAATTTTTCAGATTTTCATATAATTTAAGTTCGTTGCTAGATATTTTTAGGGGGACTTATGAATTGAATTCTTCCTCATGTCAATCCATGACGTTCGTTCTTTCCCGGTTGGTGTTTCAATGTATATTTATTCACAAGTACAAAATATGAATAATTTGTTTTCTACGTTATACAGGTAAAGTAGTTCTGGTGTAATAAAGTACTGTTAAGCCGACCACCATCTGTAATGACTACCATCTGTAATGATAACCATCTGTAATGACTACCATCTGTAATGATAACCATCGGTAATGACTACCATCTGTAATGATAACCATCGGTAATGACTACCATCTGTAATGATAACCATCGGTAATGACTACCATCTGTAATGATAACCATCGGTAATGACTACATAATAATTCTTCTGCTATGAAATATTTTTCTTGAGCCCTTCTTAATAATTTCTTCTTAATAATTTCTATCATTCCTGTTAAGAAAGCAACCTGCCAGAGAACCTTTCCCCGGCGGCCGAGTTCTTCTGGATAATCATTAAATTCCTGAGGCCCTCTCAGCTAAGTCACGAAATTCTGGTTGGTAGTGTCTCAGCTCACAACTGAGACGTTGAACATGTTTCCTTACGCCTGCTGCACCTGCTCACTTAGCAGTAAGTAGGTACTTGGGTGTTAGTTGACTATTATAGGTGGAATCCGGGGAGGGGGGGGGGAATTAAAGGACCCCAGTGGAAGCAAGACCGATGAGACACTGACTATACTGGGTTATCCACTTATCCTGGCTACTAACCCTCTGGGTTATGAAACCGATGACACTCTAATTTAATATTATCTAATATAGTATATAAATAATTATGTCTTGGGCGTGAGTATCTTGCAGCGTTCTTAATGAACAACTGTGTAAATGAACAAGCAGAGAAATCTAGGTGCTCTAGGTGCACTCCCCTAGTTGTTCTACAGTTGATGAGGCGTATGTTCCCTTTAATTAGGTCTTTTTCTGCGTAATCAATCTCTGCTACCTCAAACTGCTCGCCCCATCCCTTCTCTTACACTTGACTACGAGTCACCTTGCTGTGGTTGCTTAATTTTACTAACCTAAGTGATTGGCTATGAACCCATTATTATTATTATAATCAAGGGGGAAGCGCTAAACCCGGAGGATTATACAGCGCCTGGGGGGGGGGATGTGGAAGGCATTCAGGCTTAATTCGGGGAACTGGAGCACAGATCCAATTCCCTAAATCAAGAGCCCCTCACCAACATCAAGGAACCTTCCTTGAGGGGGCTATGAACCCAGCATCTTAATTTTCGTCTAATTTCCTTCTGTGTTAACTAGAAATGACATCTAGTATGCTAGTTTAAGTAGTACTGTGTCACTTTCTAATATTTTGGCATTATTTATGTCCCTTACAGTACTGTTAGTGATATTTCCGAGGATTACCTGAATAAGCGTAAAAAAAAAAACGCTGGGTACATCCTTGTTTTCTTCTTTAAAACTTCACCGATTAATTTAAGGGCAGCTAATTCATTTTGGGTTGACGATACCTAGTTCTAAACTTTAATCAGTTTTCCTAGATGTCTGACAAGTGATTCGTTTCTAGCTTCAGTTATCTCTGATCCAGCAGCAGCACCTTTTGCAGGCTCTAGCAATTCTGACTCACGAAATCGTAATGACACCATTGCAAACAAACCATACAACGGACGGGGATAGAACCCGCAATCAGAGAGTCTCAAAATCGTCGCTAACGCGACGGTCTGGAGTTTTGAGACTCTCTGATCGCGGGTTCTATCCCCGCCCGTGGTATGGTTTTTTTCTAGTAATTCCTCATTGAATATCTAAAATGAGACCTCCATCCGATTCTGGTGTGATAATATCCAGGTTCTCACTCCTCGTTACCATCGGCAAGTAAGTTTATTTAGGTACAGGTCCACACAAGTACAATTATCATACATAGTAACATGTGCAAAACAACCACGGAGAGAGTTGAATGATAACTCTAGGCCTTTCGTGTTGCAATCAACACATCAGGAGCTTGCAGTGTTGCAGAAAAGAGGTGGTGGTCCAAGGAAATACGATCAGACCTGAGTGAACCACTAATGATACGGTGAACCCAGCAGACTGAGGTCTCTATGAGTCACTGAGGCTGACAGATGATGCACCGCTTCCAGAATAGTAGTAACACAGACAGACAAGTGGAAGTAGATGAATTTACAGACTTGAATAGCCAAAGTGTAAGCAGCCCATCAAGTCGGTGAAGGTTCTGTTGACCCACTCAAAACACTCAGGCTGAACAAGAGTAACACACAACAGTTACCATCCCAACTCGACAGGCCTTTACAGATACCTGTGAGACAACAATATAACTTTACGTTAAAAAAATAAGGAACCACAAAATTAAGACGGATAACAGCTGCAAGAAATAATAGGCAAATGCAAATGCTGAGTAAAAATCGCAGAGGAATAATTACTCATAACTGCCACAGAAACAAATAATCAAGCGACTGTCTGAAGCCGACATAAATCTGAAACAAGCGCTTCAACACTCAAACGACCCACACCAGTCACACTCCCACGCACAAAATTATGTATATATTAGTGAATTTTTTTCTTTACACACCGTCTTTCAACGCCCCCTCCCAACTGCAGGCATTATTAAATAAATCATAGTGTCAGATGTCTTTCCATAATAAATAAACGATCAACACAACATGACTTCGAACCTTCCGTTTTGGGAGTTGTCTGCAATCGCTTCATTGCGAGTGAATCATAACTTAATACGTTCTAGATACAGCCATTTAAGCTCGCCCTTAGTAGTCGGCCTACGAACTCTGCCTTCTGGTCTTAACTGCCAGCGACCTAAACCAGAAGCGCCTTTTCTGTTATCTCGACATACCTGATAATTGAAAAGCAACAAGATAGCTATATCTGCCCTACTGTGAAATAAGTGTCTCGTTAAATCCTGATAAGTGCATCTGTAACTACAAGATGGGATACTTCCCAAGAGGCCGAACACGAACCTTGCTGCTCAATAAGGTAGTTTCAACGCTACACATAGGCTCTTCTGAAAGCAGCGTTCAATGTGTGCTTTACCCGGATGATTTTTTTTTGGGTTCTGCTACACGCGGAATGTCCATATCTGATATTCTGTTCAGTGTCTCTCCTATACTTTCCCTTATATCATCACCTAACTTACCAGGCAAACTTTCGTCCCAGTGGAACCTATGCTGACGCAAGACCAGATAACAGCTGACTCAAGACCAGCTAACAGCTGACTCAAGACCAGCTAACAGCTGACTCAAGACCAGTTAATAGCTACTCAAGACCAGCTAACAGGTGACTCAAGACCAGTTAACAGCTGACTCAAGTCTAGCCAACAACTTCATTTAAGATAGAGTGCACGGAAATGTATATCTAAATCCACAGAAATAGTGCCATTCGCAACTTACATTTGGTTCAGGGTCTAGTCCAAACCCTGGACTAGAGCCCTGAATCAGACCCTTTTCCAAACCGTATACTAGACCAAGCACCGTATTAGACCCTGTGCTAGACCCTACATCAGACCCTGCGCCAGGCCCTGTACCAATCCTTGGACCAGACCTCGGACTAGAAACTGGATGGAAATAAATGGTATAAAATACCGACACAATGGAAATATAAACACTTAAGCAGTACAATGTGATCGTTTATTGACAACGTTTCGCCCACGCAGTGGGCTTTATCAAGTCACAAACAGATCTACCTGGGTGATATATACTTGGCTATATATAGGATAGGAATGCTGGGTCAGGTGGAGAAAGGTACACGTGACAATCTTCGGAGTAGAGTGAGGAAGTCTAAAAACTTAGGTAGCTTTTAAAAGAGATTGGATAAGTACATGAGTGGATCTTCTGCAGTGTTCCTCGATTCTTATGTTCTTATGTGGGATAGCGATTAAGAAGTTTCTTGGCAAGGAGCTCAGCTATGTTACAGAAGCCGTTGAAGTTGTTGGATGTACAGATAAGTGAGGATTCCAGGATTCCTCGGTATTGAGTGTTGTCTTCTCTGGCGATAAGTCTTGCGTTTCTGTAGTTGATTAAATGATTGTGTGAATTTCGGTGTTGAACACAGGCATTCCTTGGATCGTCAGATCTGCCTGCGTACTAGTGTTCTGAAATACGTGTTTGGAGGTCTCAGGATGTTTCGCCGACGTATAATTTGCTGTCAGTTTCTAGACTGCAGAAGTTTTTAGACTTCTTAACTCTACTCCGAAGATTGTCACATGCATCTTTCTCCACCTAACCCAGCATTCCCATCCTATATATAGCCAAGTATGTTTCACCCAGGTAGATCTGTTTGTGACTTGATAAAGCCCACTGCGTGGGCGAAACGTTGTCAATAAAGGATCACATTATACTGCTTAAGTGCTTATATTTCCATAGAAACTGGATCAGACCCTGGAGTATACCTGGAGAGGGTTTCGGGAGTCAACGCCCCCGCGGCCCGGTCTGTGACCAGGCCACTCGGTGGATCAGGGCCTGATCAACCAGGCTGTTACTGCTGGCCGCACGTAAACCGAAGTACGAACCACAGCCCGGATGGTCAGGTACTGATTTTAGGTGCCTGTCAAGCGCAATCTTGAAGACAGCCAGGGGTCTGTTGGTAATCCCCCTTATGTATGCTGGGAGGCAGTTGAACAGTCGTGGGCTCCTGACACTTATTGTGTTATCTCTCGATGTATTCTTTACGTCGCTGCTTTTCACTGGGGAACATGTAGCATCTGTCTAGTATTTTCCTATCATAGAAAATTATTTTCTCGTGCGAATTTGGGACTAGTCACTCTAAGATTCTCTCGCCTGCGCTCCAGGGAATACAAATCAGGGCACTTCAACCGTTCCTAGTAATTTAGGTGCTTTATAAGAACATAAGAAAGAAGGAACACTGCAACAGGCCTACTGGTCTATGCGAGGCAGCTCCATTTCTCCCACCGGCTTATGCCAATGCATTGACCTAGTGAGGTCAGACACGTCACTTAAGGGAGGAGCACTGCATCCGACCTAGTAGCACAAGCTAGTCAGGTCCAACTCACACCCACACACACCCACTCATGTATTTATCCAACCTATTTTTAAATCTACAAAACGTCTTAACTTCTATGACGGTACTCGGAAGTTTGTTCCACTCACCACAACTCTATTACCAAACCAGTGCTTTCCTATATCCTTCCTAAATCTGAATTTTTCCAATTTAAAGCCAATGCTGCGAGTCCTGTCTGTTAGATATTTTTAGCACGCTATTTACATCCCCTTTATTAATTCCTGTTTTCCATTTATACACTTCAATCATATCCCCCCTAATTCTAAGCCCTTCTAGAGAGTGCAGATTCAGGGTCCTCAGTCTATCCTCATAGGGAAGAATTCTGATACATGGGATCAACTTTGTCATCCTCCTTTGTACGTTTTCCAGTGCATTTATAACCATTCTGTAATATGGTGACCAAAACTGAGCAGCATAATCTAAATGAGACCTAACCAAGGATATATAGAGTTGAACAAACTGAGGACTTTCATTATTTATACTTCTTGCTATATTGCTATATTGTTAGCTTTATTGCGAACACTTACACACTGTTGTCTTGGTTTTAGATTACTACTAACCAGAACTCCTAAATCCTTTTCGCAATCCGTAATATTAAGATCTACATTATTTAGTTTATATGTGGCATGGTTATTTTCCTGTCCAGCATTTAGAACTTTGCATTTGTCTATATTAAACTGCATCTGCCACTTTTCCGACCACTGCATCAGTCTATTCAAATCTTCCTGGAGTGCTGTAATGTCCTCATTAGAATGAATTGGACGGCCTATTTTGGTGTCATCAGCAAATTTGCTTATGTCGCTATTTATTCCCTCATCTACGGCGTTTATGTAAATTGTGAACAAGGGGCCCAACACTAACCCCTGTGGAACACCGCTTGTGACGTGCCCACATTCTGATTTCTCCCCATTTACGCAAAGTCTCTGCTGCCTATTTGTCAACCATGCCTCTACCCAGGAAAAAAATTCTCCTCCTATTCCGTGTGCCTTAAGTTTCCTCAATAGCCTCTGATGTGGAACTCTATCGAAAGCCTTACTGGAGTCCAAATACACAATATCATATTCAATACCATGGTCTACCTCCTCAAACACCTTAGTGAAAAAAGCTAGTAAATTCGTAAGACAATTATTGATTCCATAAATTTTCCCACTATGGAGGTAAGGCTTATTGGTCTATAGTTCGAAGCTAAGGACCTGTCACCTGCCTTGTAAATAGGTATTACATTTGCCATTTTCCAATTGTCAGGCACTATGCCAGTTTGTAATAATATGTTGAAAAGATTAGTCAAAGGTATGCTAAGTTCCTCTTTACATTCCTTTAACACCCTTGCAAACAGTTCATCAGGGCCTGGGGATTTGTTAGCTTTTAATTTCTGTTTGTCTGAGGACCATGTCACTAGTTACCACAATCGTGCATAGTTTATTATCGTCCTGTTCTACATAATTTATTATATCTAGAATTTCGCTAGTATCTTCCTGAGTAAAAACTGAGAGGAAGCAAGATTTGAAAATTTCACACATATCCTTATCACTGTCAGTGATCTGACCTGAGCTACTCTTAAGTGGGCCTATCTTGTCTCTAATCTTACTTCTGTATACCTGAAAAAACCCTTTTGGGTTAGTCTTCGAATCCCTTGCGACCTTAGCCTCATAATCCCTTTTTGCTTTTCTTATTCCTTTTATTTCTCTCTTTAATTGAATATATTGATTTCTTAACTGCCAGTCCCCTCTTTTGATACGCCCATATATGCCTCTCTTTTGACCAATGAGATATTTTAATCTATTGTTCATCCATTTGGGATCATTTTTGTTAGATCTAATTTCCCTACTCGGAACAAAAGTTGTCTGGGCAGCTAGAACTATGCTCTGAAAAACATCATATTGGCAACCAAGATCACCTACCTGACCCATAGTCAGGACATCCCAATTTAGCCCAATTTAGCTCTGTCCCAAACTTTCGGCCAAGCGAAAGTCTGGGACAGAGATTTGATTGCATTTATCTGGGTAATTCCATGACATATTGAAACTAAGTGATTTGTGATCACTTTTCCCAAGCTCATCATTAACCTCAAGATTATTAACTAGTGATTCTTTGTTGCCAAGAACCAAGTCAAGTAAATTGTTTCCTCTAGTTGGTTCTGTCACAAAGTGTTTTAAAA